TATACAGTGCTTTGATATATTTGCCGACTACATCACGTGACCAATGAAATTTTCCGACTAATCTACCAAATTAATGGCCAAACACGGAAAACATTACAAAGTGAATACATAACTGAAGCTCTACTACTTAACCCAGATCATCGCAATAAAATTTTGAAGGAAATATGGAATGACATTTCAGTGTTTCTGTAAATATTTATGACGTGATTCAGGCACATAAGGCAGGGTAAGATATTTCTTATATTACATACTAAACCTCGTATTCACTAGACAATAAAAGTATACACGTTGATAGTCAATACATACGACAAATTAACAAGGATTTCCGTCTAAATGGCCAATTCAACCCTAAAAAAATAATCAAGCGTGATAAATGAAATTTACTTATTGCTAAAGCGTTTTCCAGATACATGTACCTCTTGTGATAATGAAATATGGATGAGAGACCTAAATTAATAGATTGTGACAAAACAACATGATTGATTATGCCTGCACCAGTCGTCTAGAGAAGCCATTGAAGCACGTTGATTAATAATCGTTCATCCCTTATATGACTTATAGGTTGCTTAGAAATAAAGTCATTATTTTGGAAACAGGCTTAAAAATGGAATTAACTTGTTATCATTAATATTAACATTTTACAAAATGACATATGTCAACCATGTAGCTGATATCGACTAAACAGTGGTTACGATGACAGGTTACTAAATAAGACGAAGAATGAGGAACGTCCACTTGAAATGACCCTTTATATTTTAGGGAATGATTATCTCTGCAATCGGAAAGGTAAAACCCACCTGCGGAAAAAATCGTTGCTGTTTATCCTGGACATATGGACCTATTTATGCATTACAAAGGAACCCATTTTTCCCCAAGAACTTTCTTAGCATTGGGGACTGGACTGCCCGAATATGGTCTGAAGATATTCGAGAATCACCTATAATGTGGACAGCAACCACAACCACGGTTTGTCGGATGGCTGCTGGAGTCCTATCCGACCGGCCGTTTTTTTGCTACACGTTTGGATGGAACACTTAGTATATGGGATATTATATTCAAACAGAAAGAACCTGCATGAATATTCAGTATGCTAAATGAGTCTTTTTTAATTTGGTGGATAACCTTTGATATTGTACGAATCCCATTATTTTACTTTCACTATTCGTTCGTCATTAACTAATTTAGTAAAAGTTTGTGCTATGAAAAATAACACAAAAGAAACCAATGCATAGTACTCAATTCTTGTTATTACAGTCAAAAAAGTGAGCTTATGAATATGATTCCAAAAATTAGCTACCTGGGTTCAGTAAAACTAAAATTTAGAAAGCGCTGTTTATTTAAGACATATATTGAGGCTGTATCAAGCGATTGTGGACTATTTTCCTTCTCACTCCCACTTTTATACTCGGGAAAAATTGACTGATTGTATCTTATTAAAATTAAAGTATTGTTCAGATAAATAAAATATCAGATCCCAAGTATTACAACAATAATATTATGACTTGATTTGAAATATATAATATTAGGGATACGTATGTCTCCTTACTTTGAGATCAACAAACTAGTTGGTTCCTCTATTAAATTTAGTTAGTGCTATGAGGATCAATCAGAACTGCGCGATTTAGTAGCAAAATGAATTTTCAATTGAATCACATTTAGGTCTTCAAGTGATTGATCGAACTAGACAAAAGGTAACATGGAAAACCGTAGTGTTGAAAATACATCATTTAACGCATGAATAACACTGAAAGAAATATTATAAGGTGTAAATTTAAAAAAAAAACTAAACTGTTTTCGTATACACACCCTCGGTTAAGAAGACAACTAAATTCCTATAACCTAATAAAGGCTTTAGACAAATGCGGACTCAATTTACCACAACACTGTAATATTTTATCACGCATAATATGGCTGAAGTGTATTTTAGAACAGAAACCTATTCTATTGTTTGCTTACCAAACGAAAAATACACCATAAATTCTAATTTTAAAGAAGTTTTAAGAAAATTAAATCAGATCTTATTGAGGCATTGTGTTTATTCGTGAAGCCAGTACAACTTTTAAAAATATACTTAGTTCAAGAATGTACTCTTTTTCATAAAAAATACCATGAAATTTAGTATTTGAATGGATAAAAATCTTGACAGATAGTGTAAATGTATTGTAAATTGAATAAACGTCATTTCAAATCAGTAAGTAATTTTCACCTATAAACATTTATCCCGACTTTCTTCACGCAACACCTTACGAAAGCTGTTCTTAGTATCTATTCCGATAAAGTAAATTCAGTGAGCAGTTAGAAAATCACTATCACCATTAAATTGGCTTCTGAAGTGAGGGTCAATACAACTATTCAGGGTTTAAATCACAAACTGAAAGTATCGATAACTAAATGTTTAGTAATGTACTACATAAAGAGGCTTATAATCTATGTACTAGGGGATTTCAGTATAAAATATCCAAGGTTAGTCGCAATATGTCTTGACTGATTTTTTTCTCATATATTAAAGAGATAGTTATGGAAATTCTCATCACTTTTAATCAACACTATTAACGATTAATAGGCATATTCTGGGTCCCTCGGTAGTCATAATCATGGAACTTTTCTAATCTATTAATAATATTGTTAATATTTGGAATGAACAAACCAACATTATGGTTGATGAGGTTTTCTCCAAGGATCCGAAAACCAGTGATCATAGCCATTAGTCTCAGAAATCCAAATCGCTGCATTGTTTGACTAACATGGATTTAGAGCTTCTGACATCACTTTTGATTCATTTATTTTATTATTTTAAATACAAGTGAACGTAAGACTTCCTATTTCTGTGTTTTAAAAAACTATAACTATAAAGAAACTTCTAATGCAAATACTTATAGAATGACAGCTGAAGTCAGTTGTCTGATTAGTCACAGAAATAATTTTCTTATTAAGTTCATCTGGAAATGATACTCGTTTGAAAAATCAAATTTAGAAACAAGAAACTGCAAGCTCTAGACATACGGTATAATAAAGAGATTATTGACATGAAAACACTTAAAATAATAGTAAAATATTAGCATTACAAACGTTATATCTGGTTAGATTTTGCTTTTTCATTTGTAAGTCAGATTTTCACAACCTCGATAGATTAGATTAACATTTACACAATAATGCTGTCCACTCTGATTGGAAGCAAGGGTAAAATAGTAGTTAATTAGGAGGCACGATTGTCGCACAGTTAATTAAAATCAGGGATTGCTTTTGCACTACTGATGAAACGAATTATTTCCAAACCTGCTCCCAAAACAAACCCATTGTTTATAAATGATCTTGTAAAACAACCTTTGTAACTCGTTGAATAATAAATTATCAACTAGAATATAGACTTCCTAAATAAAGATCAGCGTTTTAACTTAAAAATTGATTGCAACATGCTCATTGTAGAAAAAGCCAACTAAAATGCTCTAATATATTTTGCTTCTAAATAGTAGATATGTGAAGAAACTCCATTGTCTCAAAGTCCAAGAACAAGGTCGACTTGTTGCAACAGGATCACATAGTGGAATATGCACGATCCTAGAACTCTCTGAAGGGTTTTGGAATCAGTCTAAAAAACGAGAAGTCTTTAGTCACTGCCATGTTTGAAAGGGAAACCCATCGTGAGAAGATTCTGGAGGCCAGAAATCGAGAAATAAAACTACGAAAACAAAAAGCACAGGGAACAGTGAGTTTACCTATGAATATATGTGATAAAAATCATATTAAAATTAAATATATCGTCCATCCTCCGAAGAAGACAGAACATGAATAATTATTCTGAAAAAGTCTATTAATAAGAATATTCACTCACAAATATTCGCATTAAAAAATAGAACAGCTTTGTTCTGGAAAGCGTTAATATAATTATCCTAAACAACATTGGATTTAGATGCTTCCAAATACCCCTTTAGAATTATTAGCATGCAATCTGGGCAACTATATTATATATTAGAAGTCAGTTAATAAATAAACTTAATATTCCCAATTCCATTTTTGAACTCGAGTCTGATTACAGTACGACAGAACGAGAATGATGTTGATTGTAGGAAGTAATTTCTTACAGATGTAATTCTAAACTATTCTCTAGACTGCCAAGCACAAAGTCTTAGCTTAGCCAAAGTTAGAACAAGTATGCTATTTGGTTTGATAAGCTGTATCTGTTTCTAAAACGTAGATTAACACTGTTAGTATACAAAATAAGCAATTAGTATGGTCATTTCAATGGTTGAGTCGATCGAAGCTAGACCACTATGGAAAACCTTGAACCACTGGACGACCGTTTCGTCCGATTCCGGGACACCTCAGCAGTGCGCACCCACGATCACGACCCATGAGGTTTGAACTCAGGACCTGTCGGTCTCGTGCGCGAGCGCTTAAACTCTAGACCACTGAGTCGGCATCCAACTGTGTTAATATCTGTTAAACAGGGAAAAGACATAGATAAAATTACCGAACAGTAACTAGAGAATAGGAAAAATGAATCAACAAACTTAATATCTCCCATGATAAACATAAAATTATGATTGGTGAGTAAGCAAAGCATAGTCATACGGTCGAAGAAAGTTAATGTGGTGGTGGGCGCTTCATGTTATCATTGGTGGGTTAGTTTATCGATTACATTTTGCACTAATGAAATCCATATCCGTCGGCAAATCACATTGATACAACATAGATAAAATTCGGATACGATACGTATTCAACATATATGTTCCAGACTTGTTAATATTGAAAGGCAGAAAAGCTATCAAAAATGTGGCAAATGCACTAAGCATTCGATTCCGGCAATACACCGACTTTCCTTATAAGTCATAAAAAGTACAGAGTGGATAAACGCATACGTACCACCAAAGACACATAAACAGTATTTCTAATGGAACCATACTCACTAGACTAATATGTTAACAATTATTTTCCCAACTGATAATATGGTTTCAGGATGTCATGTAGCCAGCTAACTGTAAGGTTCTAGTTATCTTTCTAATACGAAAATTCTACTCATTGTTCTTTTATTTATTAAAAAAGAGAAATGGTCTATTGAGCATTCCACTGATCGTATCAGTTAAGAAATATTTTGATTCCGAAAATTTCGTCAACAATGAATACAAACCAGAGAAACCAATCACTAAAGTTCTTACTAATATTTCTAGTATTACCAAGAGCAGGAAACCTAGAAAAGTTTATCAGTCATTCTACTAAAAGCACACGGTTTCGACGTGCCCAGTTGATGGTTCTTAAAACTGGAAGTTCTTTCTACATTGTAGTTGAACATGATGGTATTGCCTTATTAACAAAACGCACTATAATAAAGTTTCATAGCAAACAACCAGACATTGGGAAAATCACTCTTACTTTCAATTAATCCTTTTTAAAAATAACTGAGAACGAAGAGAGATATTAACATCGTGAAATTTCCCACTTTTGATGTTCACTCACAACTTTTTTTAAAGATTTGTTCTTTATTGGCAAACTACCCGATCAAAACTTGCTAACATGAGACTTGAGAAAATAAGACAGATGTCCCCACAATCATTTGGTCCTTAAATGCTGTGAGAATAGTAAATTTTGATATCAATATTGTTGTTTAAAGATAAAATTAGAGTAACAAACTTTGCTGATGAAAACTCAAAAAAAACATCTAAGTGATGTTGGGGCGATTTCGTTATACAGTAAACACATCCTAACAGCCTCTGATAAATCCTGACACTTCGTTATTTCAAATCAATGTACAACGTAGAAAACCAATTACCGAACCTTGAATCAGAAGAAAATCTGTTGCCATTGTTTCCCCACTCGAGGTTTCTGAAAGACAGCAACAATAGTCATGCTTACCTGTTTATTCACTACGGAATGGAAAAATCACCCCAAAAGACATCATTTACGCGATGGTTAAATTCGTTCAAGCCACAAAGCTTGTATCATGGTTAGATATCTACAAATAGAGACCACTTCTTATATTTCAGAAGTGATTCAAAAAAATGGTCGAGCCAAGAACAGTTAGCCATTCAAACGTTATTCGAATTTGTAACGCACATGAATTGTCTAATTGTCGACCCGAGCCAATCCAGTGATGAAGACTTAAAGTCGTGGATATGAATGAAAACACTGAGTGTATACATCAGGTAACAGTACCCATATTTTGGACCATCACAGTAACCACTTAACCCCCTTATCACTTACAATTTATAGGCCTTCAGTAAATTGGCTTTCAAGACAAATACCGTCTGACTGAATAATTTTGTTGGTCTCATCGCATGTTCTGAAGCATTATAACTTCACTCTACGCGCTCCCATACTGGGTTTTACGTTGTATGGTAGATAACATTTCAGATACTCATAAACTTGTTATCGTTTTTGAGACTTCTGGGTTTGGCAAAATCGTACTCTAATACATCAACTGCGCTTAGTCACCCGTAAAGAAGACTTTGTGATTAAGACGTTTTTAAGAGATTAAGGCATTCACATCTGCCTGTTTATTCTAGGACTTCAGAAAATAGGGATCATTCTTACTAACATGTACACGGGAAACTAACTATATTTGCGTATAGTCATATAATTCCGATGGATAAGAATGGTGAAACAGCAGCTCCCGACACTAATGCAGTTGGTTCAATGTGCGACAACCGAAACGAGTACCAATCATAATCAGGAATAAGTTGTTACATGTTACCTACATAATAACATTTTGCGTAAATATACTCTTATTTCATCCTGAACCAAGACACTAAAGAACTAAGCCTTATTTGCTTACGACTTTATCCGAACCCCGTGTTAAACATAGATAATTATAACACTACACGGTTTATTTTTATAATTTGCTTTATCTGATTCCGACTACCTTAATCTTTTGGAAAGTTTATTTTAAAAAAATTGAGACAACTGCTATTGGTGAGGAAGAATTAGACACGAAACGAGTGGAAGAAATTACACGTTCAACACAAGAACAATTTTTTGAAACCATTGAACGAAAACTCAAAGAACGTGAACTAAGAGAAAAGCTTGCTATGGAATCTGCACAAACTGCAAGCATTAAACAGGTAGATCTAGCTAACTTCTTTTGCAAAGCACTCAGTCGGGCGCTTCTTAATTTTATTATTTATCAGTAACGGGACTTTTTAAGTATTTAAAAAGACTAAATTTCACAATTTGGACCGACCCCTTACGGGTCACTAATTAAAGTACTCATTATTCTAGTTAAATGTGAATATAAACACTCTGCTTAGCAGATGTCAGTGTTTCCCATTGTAGCCGAATTCGTGCCCTTCTCTTTGGATATGAGCGAAGATTATCTCGATGAATGTTTTGAGTTCTTATCACCTACTATATATATATAATGAGTTTTCTTCTGATGAACCTTACATTTTATGAGACTGGATATTCGATAATAAGAATGAACCATCTTTGAAAGACATTATTTTTTCCTAAATCGTTTTAAACAAGATAAGCCACAGAATGATAATTACTGATAATATTGTAGTTTTGTCAATACTATTAACATGGAACTTGCTGAGACTGGATCTTGTACAAAGTTTCTTTTGTGCTTGATTCTCAGGAGTAGGAGTGAATCAGTAAGACAAACTGCATTCTTATTTGGCAAGATTTGCTAAAGTAGGGAACAACAATAATGTTTGATCATGAACCTTTTAAACTTCTGGACCACCGAAGAAATCAAACTCCGACGATTAAAATGTCGAATATTAACAGAACTATATAAATCCATGTCTAAATTAAATAGTGGACCGGACTGTGAAAGTGGAAGTATGATATTGAGTTTTCCAAGTAAATCTTTCTTCTATAGAACATAATTTCCACACCTCCGTCATAATTTTGGATAAACTTGACTAATCAATAAAATAACCATGATTATATGTCCCCAATTCAATATCTCAAAACTACACTTATGTCTCTCAGCCTTCTTATCAGTATTTCCGCGTAACAATCTTTTTTTAGTTAAAGAATGAAATAGTACTTGATGAGGAAGAAGAACGTCCAATATCAAGCGACGATGAGCAAGATGTTGTTGAAAGGGAAGGAGAACAATGTTTGCAAACTGAAGCAGACGAACCTAGTGAAGCTGTTCAGTCTTAGTCTAGAATTCAAGATAGCTCACATCATGTTCTGAGTCTATCGCTGGTGGTAAGCGGAACTGGATGTCTGCTGATGTTATGTTATATAGAATTTTTTCTCGGAATATTAAAATATAATAAAGTTTTTGGTGCAGTCGTTAATACTTTTACATATCCCAGCACGAAAACATAAGTTACAACTAATTCGGCATAAAGACAGTCCTGAAATGTGTTTTCTTTGTGGATCATTATATTCAGTTTAAACTAACTTTACGTACTTGTGCTGGTATCGAAAGTACAGGAAAATTAAGACATATCAAGTATCAAGATTTACTGGTTAATAAGTGGACAGAAAACAACGACGGATAATACAATTGAAATTACAAGCCGGGATTGACATCCTTCGGCCAGCCACCCTCCGTGTGATTCATTCCATGTGTTTCTGATCTGTACCTTTCGGTGTTGGCTTCGTGTTCAGACATTTCTTGGGAGCACTGAATACCTTTGTCTACAGGATTCATTTCGATAAACTTTTGAGACAACTCTGCATCCGGTAATATTTCTATCAGGACTTCAGCATTTTTGTCGCTAAAATTACACTGCCTCCCGAATTCGGAGCGTTTTTTAGAGTAAACATAACTTGCTTCCATTTTTCAATTTGTGCGGTTGTTCGGTATCAGTGGTATCTAACCTTGTAAACACTAAAACAAACATAAAATACTAAATAAAAAGTCTGCAGTTGTAAAAATAGTAGGTTTCTCGATCTTTTAAATTTTCAAGTAATGTTCTCCAGATGAGGTTTAGATTATTACTGAAGGCATTCACTTATACTGGTGTTACAACCTGTTCGAATCGAACATTCCATGTAATTCATCAAGGTACTGAAGTAAGAAAGTCTGAGAAAATATGAGAACCACACAGGCATCAATTAACTATCAGCACCAGGAAGAGTTTTCAACAATGTTGCTCAACCAGATGAAAGACTCAGTTCTTTTCAGGAAGATTTGGGAGGAAAAATAAATGCCGAAAAACTGAAAAGAAAGATATTTAATCAACTTACGGGTGAAATTAGGAAACTAGAGAGACATCACACTACTCTCAGTATCAGGAAGGGATTTCAACAGAGTGTTGCCCAACGAGATGAAAAATTCATTATCCGCCAGCAAACAACCACTCTTTATTCTCCCCACCTCGACCACATATCATTATGCGTGCTAGCAAAATATATTGCAGGTTGAAATGCTTTTTCTGTTTCGCTTCGCTGTACAAGTTCAAGGAAAATCAAATAGGATGACATTTCTCCCATGAAAAATATGCTGGTGAACGCCGTTGATTTAGAGAATCTGAAACTGTCATTACACAATTTAGTTTATTATAAAATAAAGGGCGTCATCTCTAAGATGATGGGCCTTAGTTCAATAGCAAAAAACATCTCAGATCTTTCACAGCTATTATGATAGTATAAGTTATTTTCAAACAAATATATTAGACGGGGCATACCATTTTAGAGGCAAGGTCAAATCGTTACAAGTGCTACAGGATTTACTGTCATAAGTCACTCATTTGGGTTGATATTGTCATAAAACAGATTGATTATAAAAACAGGAGGTTACATTTTCTCACACTACAATGTGAATGTTGGTAGACTTGGATATTCGCCATATGGATTGGTGCTTTATTGAGATAGCGTTGCGACAAACGTCGTGTGGTCGAGCATGAATACAAGTAAAGTTTACTCGTTGAACGACAATACTGATCACTTTACTGTTCACCGTATGTCCTAGTACTTTAATTCTAGGTGCGAAGTGAGGGAAGTCTAAATGAAGTGAAGTTTTCGTGACCGTCTAACATGTGAATGTTTAAAATCTATGTCCATTAATTTTTAAGCCATGATTAGCCGACATCTCTGTTCGGTAGCCAATAATCAATTTCATCCTTCCTCCTATGTATCGATTGTATGCCAGATATATCTAATGTGATTGTCGTATTGTAGTCATTACTCGTCAGTCTAAGAAATGAAGAACAGGAAAACATAACAGACCACCGTTGTTGCCACTCTATGTAGATCCAGTTCACCATTTGGGAGCAAATCATTGCTATTATCGCTGTTACCATGACCGATTTTTACACAGCAACCCTAGCCCTACAGAATTCCGAGTCAGTGTTTTTGATATGATGGTGGATTACACTACGTCAAGGTGAATCTTATTCATAAAGTCATAGAATTAATTTTTATTTAAAGAATATTTATGATTTAGGAAAACTATGAGACCCATCAGTTTATTAATTTACTCATCTGGTACAAAAAATAAAAAAGGAAACATATTCTGTGCTTTCCTGGAAACTACTGTGATAGCGAAGATTATACTGACTTGTCTCTGAGTAATGTTAGAAGTAAAAAGATGCGTTTTCATGTAAACGATACTAAAACAAATGCTTGATGATGTTTGTGATACTATTCAAGCACAAACACAGATATAAAATGTATAACATACTTCAGTGGCCCCAGATTTACAATACACAAGCATGAGAATTTCTTTAAAAAAGCGTGCACACAAACATCTGCTATATATCAAGTAAGTTGAATAAGGACTCAATATTGGTTGCTTGTTGAAAAAAAGAACTGTTCTTTACCAACAAAGAATATTCTATTTACAAGCGACCAAACAAGTCGATCAGTTACAAGAATTCAACCAATAAAACAGAGTTTGATGAACCTCAAGTGTTTGGGACCAAATGGTCTAAACATTAAGGTATGGTAAAACACACATTAATAGCGGTGTAATGATAGCACCAAATTATAGTCAGTTATAATCTGATGCGAACCAAGAATAAACTTAACAACAGTGAATGAAGAGGTTAAAGTGAGATTTATAAGCTGGTGTTTTTCAGATAAAAAATATATGTACTGTGAAAAGATTTTAGGGATTTAATGTCATTTGAATAGCATGATTGTATTTAAACAACAAATCACGTGTCTAGCTTGTGATATTTACGGCACTATTTGTCTAGAATCACTTAGGAAGATTCATATGAACCAACGATATAGGTTTACGATTGATTGATCAATGGTTGGTGATTACTGTAATGTATGTCAGATCCTCCTTAGTGCGGATCGAATCCTATCGACCAAATCGCAATGTGGTCACTAGTCTAGGTGACTCGGCACTCCATGTACAATGCTGAGCTTTAATGGTGGTTGGAGGTAGTCAACAAGAAACCCTGGACACGAGTTTCGTGCTACTTGGCATTTGTCGGCAAGGCGTTCCCGTAGTCTTGAGCAAACCCTGTAGGCAACACATCGGATTTCAGGATATTCTATGTTAACCTCTCAATAGATCAATTAAATTTTCAAAAGTTTTCCCTTTTTTGGGGGTGCTAACACAATATACATCATCGAGTTTCTTATGTTGTCTGCAGGAATATTTTTGTACTTTCGTTAATTTTATAACGCCTGAGTTTGATGTTGTGATACTTACGTATGCTGAAAAACTAGCGTTGTCAAGGGTTTTGTTATTGAGCCTGATGACTTAATAAGATCACGCATCGCGCGTATTTCCGACAGTACACCGTTGCACCATGCTAAATCAGGAAAACGTTTTCTCAAGTGTTTTTTGTGTCATTCCATAGTGATCTTAGATACTTTATTTTTTGAGCTATGCTCTATTTTGTTTACAGGATGAGCCTAAGCTCATAAATTACTAGTCACTATGTACAGACATTTGTAATTATTAGCTCAGTTTGTCCTAAGCCTTTTGTTTTAGAAGCTTTCACGTCCTTGGACATTACATCTAGGTAGACGGTCAGTCCTAGAGCCCGATTTGAAAATTTTTTGTTCGAGATATTGTTGTACTCTTCCCCACTTAGAAGATCTTGCAAAAGTGAATTACCAAGTAGGAAGGAGCAGTGTTATAGTGCAAGTGTTGATGGCAGTGGAAATACTCCACTTTCTAACAACACGATCTTTAAATCTGAATGCAAACTAGCTTAGCAGACTGACTAAAGTTCAAATGATAGATGATAACTGATGAAGGTTGATAAGAGCCGGCACAATCATAATATTAAGAATTTATGGTTCGGCGGTAAAGCAATGGTTGCCTTGTCTACTCCTTTCATATTTATATCTCACAAATTATTCCGTAATACCCCCAGCTGCTTCGTACGGTGAGTCGGGAATAGGAATGATGTGACTACATGAAAGCATCATGTAGACTGCACAGTTATGCTGCAGCCAGCCAACCAAATTACGATGGATCCATTGGTCTACCAGCATAAATATGCTTATTACAAAATCTAATGGTTTTACAAAATTAATTAAGAGATTCAGGGGTTAATTTTGATGGTAGTTAATATTCTTTACCAACGATATACTATAGAAGTTTTTACGGATTCATCTAAGCCATGAAAGTTGTGCAGTCGTAGGCCAGGCACAGATCCTAGTTTGTGTGACGTTAAGTAACTTAATATAAGCTTCAAGTCTTTATTACTTATCTGTGTTTCTCATTGATAAGTTGCAGGATTTATTATTGACATTCTTTGTTCAGTCCATTCTGCATTATTCGGAAAATCATTACCAAGCTACTTCTAGTCATCAACACACAAGCATGGCTTACCTCCGAGAAAGATACTGCATAAAATGTCAATGTATATAATGAAAAGAATATTAACTACCATCAAAATTAACCCCTGAATCTCTTAATTAATTTTGTAAAACCATTAGATTTTGTAATAAGCATATTTATGCTGGTAGACCAATGGATCCATCGTAATTTGGTTGGCTGGCTGCAGCATAACTGTGCAGTCTACATGATGCTTTCATGTAGTCACATCATTCCTATTCCCGACTCACCGTACGAAGCAGCTGGGGGTATTACGGAATAATTTGTGAGATATAAATATGAAAGGAGTAGACAAGGCAACCATTGCTTTACCGCCGAACCATAAATTCTTAATATTATGATTGTGCCGGCTCTTATCAACCTTCATCAGTTATCATCTATCATTTGAACTTTAGTCAGTCTG